CAGTGTTCCAGATGTTCCTGTACAGTGTTCCAGATGTTCCTCTACAGTGTTCCAGATGTTCCTGTACAGTGTTCCAGATGTTCCTGTACAGTGTTCCAGATGTTCCCGTACAAAGTTCCAGATGTTTCAGTACAGTGTTCCAGATGTTCCTGTACAGTGTTCCAGATGTTCATGTACAGTGTTCCAGATGTTCTTGTAGAGTGTTCCAGATGTTCCTGCAGTGTTCCAGATGTTCCTGCACAGTGTTCCAGATGTCCTGCACAGTGTTCCAGATGTTCCTGTACAGTGTTCCAGATGTCCTGCACAGTGTTCCAGATGTTCCTGTACAGTGTTCCAGATGTCCTGCACAGTGTTCCAGATGTTCCTGTACAGTGTTCCAGATGTTCATGTACAGTGTTCCAGATGTTCCTGTACAGTGTTCCAGATGTTCCTGTACAGTGTTCCAGATGTTCCTGTACAGTGTTCCAGATGTTCCTGTACAGTTGGTTCAGTGACTTGCTCAGGGACTCTGGCATGAGACCAAGTAGTGGTGGACTGGCACTGACAACTCTCAGCCAGAGCTGCTCCACAATGATATTCATGTTCRGGGGTTCTGGGTTCAGACCTGGGTCACTGGGTCTGCGGGACCAGAACATCAGATGAGAAATGGGCCTCTGGAAGAATCCATCAGTGTTCTCTCTCAGAGCCATTTCCAGCAGGTAAGATGTTTATTATTYAGAACTTGACCTCCTCCTAGCTGTGTGTCTTTAACAGGACGACATGTTTCTTGTTTCCTCAGAGTTCTGCTGTTTTTCACACAAACTGCTTTTCTTTTCCACTCACGCACCGTGCCGTGCGTTCAGTGGGCGTGTCTTTCTGTCAGCTGGATTAAAGGGGGCGGGGCTTCTGTGCGCGCCGCGTGTCACCAGCTGAGCTGACACGGAGTCCTCTGAAGGATCCGTCAACGCGCGGGTCTGTTATGCGACAGAGACCAGAACCGGAGCCCGGACCCGGATCCCACAGGTCGGTGCATCTCTTTACCTCCTGTAGCTGTGCTGTGCGTGAGCGYGCGCGTTCCCGCTGCTAATTAACACGTGCACGAGCCACAGGTGTGTAGGTAAACAAACCTGCTTCGTGGACGGAGCTGAACGGGTCCAGTTAGCAGGTTCCGACTCGGATCCGTTGTGAACAAACGGCTGACGGTGCGGGGCGCGTGCACAGCTGATGCATGGACAGTGTGGAAGTTGGTACCGGCTGCAGGGTTCTGGTTCCGAACCTGAAGGGAAACGGATCAGGGTTTTGCGTGGACCTAGCTGGTACCAACAAACAGGTAATTCTTGTTTACCTGAGCAGGTTCTGTTCGGTGGCTCCCACAAGAATCCGGTTCTGTCTGCCATGACAGGTCAGAACCCGTCCTTACAGAACCGGTGCCACCCGGAGTTCTGTTCTGTTTGTTGATGGTCTGCTTCACATCTGTGGTCCAGTTCAAGAGAACCAGAACAGAACCGGTTCTGATAACAATCTGTTCTTTGTGGACACTGTCTGTCTCACCTGTCTGTCTCACCTGTCTGTCTCACCTGTCTGTCTCACCTGTCTCACCTGTCTGTCTCATCTGTCTCACCTGTCTGTCTCACCTGTCTGTCTCACCTGTCTGTCTCACCTGTCTCACCTGTCTATCTCATCTGTCTCACCTGTCTGTCTCACCTGTCTGTCCTCACCTGCCTGTCTCACCTTTCTGTCTCACCTGTCTGTCTCACCGTCTCACCTGTCTGTCTCACCTGTCTGTCTCACCGTCTCACCTGTCTGTCTCACCTGTCTGTCTCACCGTCTCACCTTTCTGTGTCACCTGTCTGTCTCAACTTTCTGTGTCACCTGTCTGTCTCAACTTTCTGTCTCACCTGTCTGTCTCACCTTTCTGTCTCACCTGTCTGTCTCACCGTCTCACCTGTCTGTCTCACCTGTCTGTCTCACCGTCTCACCTTTCTGTGTCACCTGTCTGTCTCAACTTTCTGTGTCACCTGTCTGTCTCAACTTTCTGTCTCACCTGTCTGTCTCACCTTTCTGTCTCACCTGTCTGTCTCATTTGTCTGTCTCACCTTTCTGTCTCACCTGTCTGTCTCACCTGTCTGTCTCACCTGCCTGTCTCACTGTCTCACCTGTCTTTCTCACCTGTCTGTCTCGCCGTCTCACCTGTCTGTCTCACCTGTCTGTCTCATCTGTCTGTCTCACCTGTCTGTCTCACCTTTCTGTCTCACCTTTCTGTCTCACCTGTCTGTCTCACCTTTCTGTCTCACCTGTCTGTCTCACCATCTCACCTGTCTGTCTCACCTTTCTGTCTCACCTGTCTGTCTCACCTGTCTGTCTCACCGTCTCACCTGTCTGTCTCACCATCTCACCTGTCTGTCTCACCTGTCTGTCTCACCATTTCACCTGTCTGTCTCACCTTTCTGTCTCACCTGTCTGTCTCACCGTCTCACCTTTCTGTCTCACCTGTCTGTCTCACCTGCCTGTCTCACCGTCTCACCTGTCTGTCTCACCTGTCTGTCTCACCTTTCTGTCTCACCTGTCTGTCTCACCTGTCTGTCTCACCATCTCACCTGTCTGTCTCACCTGTCTGTGTCATCTGTCTGTGTCTCCTGCCTGTCTCACTGTCTCACCTGTCTGTCTCACCTGTCTGTCTCACCTGTCTGTCTCACCATCTCACCTGTCTGTCTCACCTGTCTGTGTCACCATCTCACCTGTCTGTCTCACCTGTCTGTCTCACCTGTCTGTGTCTCCTGCCTGTCTCACAGTCTCACCTGTCTGGTCTCACCTGTCTGTCTCACCTGTCTTTCTCACCTGTCTGTCTCACCTGTCTGTCTCACCTGTCTGTCAGCTGTAGTTATGTTGTTGTGTCTGAGTGCAGTTTTAGGCAGTACAGTGATGAAGATGATGATGATGATGGTCCTCTGTGTGCATCAGTTACACAGAGGACTCGTGCAGCAGTAATGTGTACAAGAATGTGAGGAGTCAGGACAGGTCAGGACTCCTGGTTCTGGTTCTGGTTCTGGTTCTGCTGCAGTCAGACACAACTGTTTTCACTGGAAGACATTTTTAGTGTCCATCAGCTGCCAGCTGTCAGATTAAAGAGATTATGAGGGAAGCTCAGCTGTAGAACAGCTCACAGAACCTGTTCTGGCTGAGGTCCAGCTGTCTGTCAGGAAGCTCATCTGGAAGGTTCTAGTAAAGTCCAGACGTCCTCTGGTTCTGTTGTTCTGAGTCAGAACCTCAGACTGAGCCTGGTCTGTCAGCTCCTGTTTTTCTTTTCAACCATTTCCTGCTCATTCAGATCAAAACAAGATGTTTTACAGAGAAGTTTATCAGAACTGAGACAGTCCACCCTCCTGGTTCTGGTTCTGGTTCTGGTTCTGTTGGGATCAGCTCGCTGACACCAGCAGACTCAACAAGATGATGTGAGGAGATGTGGGAGCAGAGCTGGACTCTGCTGCAGTTTCTGACAGCAGGAGCTGCTGAAGCTGCAGACAATCATGACAACAGTTATCATCCTGTGACTGTCAGTTAGTGTCAGACCCTCTGAGACCCCCTGAGACCCTCTGGACCCTCTGAGTCACTCTGAGACCCTCTGAAACCCTCTGGACCCTCTGAGACCCTCTGAGACCCTCTGGACCCTCTGAGTCACTCTGAGACCCTCTGAAACCCTCTGGACCCTCTGAGACCCTCTGAGACCCTCTGGACCCTCTGAGTCACTCTGAGACCCTCTGAAACCCTCTGGACCCTCTGAGACCCTCTGTGACCCTATGAGACCCTCTGTGACCCTATGAG